GGTGCCCAATTCTCCGGCCGTGGACCAGCACCCAATTCACGGGCCGTAGATTAGCACCAATTCACGGGCCGGGGACCGGGCCGCGGCATGCCAGAAAACGATCCACGCAGAGGCGAAGCTCTGTTGGCGGGATGCAAGAAGCACGCGGAAGCATGCTCCTTTCTGGTCCACGGAAAAACCGCTCTCTATGGTGCCCGAACGATTGGGGGCCAGTGCCGTACACCAGGGGTCCCCAACTCACGAGGTAGACCAGGCCGAGAAACCACCGACACAAGAAATATTAGACCTGATAGGTGCAGAATATAGTAGCAGAATCTTGAAAACGTCTCCCGTTCGCTCCCGCTGACCCCAAAGAGCATCAAGGCAAGTCAGCCTTGAGGTTCTTTCTCACCCGTTCCTGTTTTCCTGGGATGAATCCGTGTTTTCCTACATATTTTCTTTGGAACTTCCCCATCTGTCAATCCTTCGAGGTGTCAAGACCAGGCCAAAAAACCACCGACACAAGAAATTGTCAACACTCCTAACGTCGGATGTTAGGGAGATGCAGCCATTTTAGGGATGTTAGGGAGATGCAGCCATTTTAGGGATGTTAGCGAAATGCAGCCATTTTGTTCTACTTTTTTTTAGAGTTAGATGATGCTGAGGAGGGGGGAGGGCGAATGGGCACGAGAGTCTAGCTAGACCTAATAAATCTGACCCTAGTGTGAGAACCAAGGTTGTTGGAATAAGAGAGGATAAGAATTGGCGGGCTGGAGAACTGGGAGGGAAGCCTGCATTTCAAACTAATTGGAGAATGTGATTTATGACTGTCAGTCGGAGGAGGGAGGAGGGAATTGTGTGTTGATACTATGTACTCAGGGGAGGGGAACTCAGTTTTTTTGGCTTCGATTGTGTTAGTGGCGACGCTATGCTAGTCAAATAAAGATTCTTTAAAATAAACAAGGCCTCGAGATTCTTTGAAGGGTTTCATCTGTCGGAACCATGACAGAAATATTAGACTTTATTGGTATCGATTATAGTAGCAGAATCGTGAAAACGTCTCCCGTTTGCTCCGGCTGGCACCGAAGAACATCAAGGCAGGGCAGCCTTGATGTTCTTTCTCACCCTTTCCTGTTTTCCTGGGGCGAATCCAAGATTTTCTTAGCTGCCACATATTTGGGGGGGGGGGCGCTACCCCATCTACCAATCCTTCGAGATAGACCAGGCCGAGAAACCACCGACACAACAAATATTAGACTTTATTGGTACCGATTATAGTAGAATATTGAAAACATCTCCCGTTCGCTCCGGCTGGCACTGAAGAACATCAAAGCAGGAGAGCCTTGAGGTTCTTCCTCACCCCTTCCTGTTTTCCTGAGGGGAATTCACGTCGTCCTAACATCTGCCGGATATTTTCCACAAGGCCGTCTCTGTGGTCCTCTACATACACCAGGGGTCCTCAATTCTCCGGCCGTGGACCAGCACCCAATACACGGGCCGTAGATTAGCACCAATTCACAGCCCGTGGACCGGGCCGCGGCATGTCAGAAAACGATCCACGCAGAGGCGAAGCTCCGTCAGCGGGATGCAGGCCGCATGCGGAAGCATGCTCCACGCTGATCCACGGAAAAACCGATCTCTATGGTGCCCGAAAGGTTGGGGGCCGCTGGCGTACACCAGGGGTCCCCAACTCACGGGCTGCGGACCAGCACCGGGCCGCGGTGCACCAGAAAGCAGGCCGCACAAGCAAGCGAAGCTCCGTCTGTGCATGTGTGGCATCCAGGCAGCGTGTGAAATCACACACGCACCTGGTCCACGGAAAAACCGCCCTCCGCGGAACCGGTCCCTGGTTCCCCAAAAGTTGCAGGGGGGAAGGGCACTGCTCTACACCGCCTTTCAGTGGCCAACCTGGACTCAACGAGGGATTCCGAGTGAGAATCTTACCACTTTAATTTCCATCCGAGATCTTATTAATACATCTTTTCGGTTCTTACAACAGAGGGCATGTCTTCATTTTTTTTGAGGGGGGGGCTGTCAGGGAAACTGGTGAGGTTGGGGTGCTCACTCTGTCTCCGTCCCATGATGCACTGCAAAGGCAGAGAGGAAAGGGGAGACTGGCCCCGACTTCCTGGAGGAGGGGGAGAGGAAATGAGTAGAATATACTCAGTCAATTCAATCGGAATAGAACTGGGAGGGACCCTAGAGGTCTTCTAGTCCGACCCCATGCTCCAGATTGTGTTCTTACACAATCGGAGAAAGGCAGAGTTGGAAGGGACCTCAGAGGCCATCTAGTCCACACACCCCTCAAGCAGG